TGTGTGTTTACACACCACATACCTTTACATGGTTAATTAAACATATACTGCAGCTTATCTGAATTTGGGGATCTTTCCCAAAAATGAGCAAAGGCACCATGTTTAAAGCTGGATTCCCAAGTATAATCATGTAAACCAGATTAAGGGATTAAATGCCTTTGTTACTTCAAAGAAAGTTAATGTTTAAGGTAGTTCATGGTGCTCATTGTATAGTTACTTAACATCCCTATACTGCCTCTGAAGTTTATAAAAGTTTCTGTATGAGGCAGATGAGGAATTTAGGATCTGAGAAATTATGGACCAGATCCAAATTCTTTTAATATGCCCTTAAATGTGACCTGGTGGAATTTAAGCACTTAAGTCACAAGAGATCAAGAGTGACCGTGCTGCAGTGGCTATTAAATGGCCTCCATCTTGGCTTGAACAGTACCCTAGGTGTTTAGGTAGGCTTCTTGTCCTGTTCATACGTGTACTTAGCCACCTAACTTCTACCTAAATGTCATTATAGAATCATAGAATAGTATGGCTGGAAGGAATCTCAGGAAGTCATCTAGTCCAACCCCTTGCTCAAAGTAGGATCGTCTCTTCCTAACCATCTCAGTCAGTGCATATCTAAGCTGCTGTTAAAAAACATTCAAGAATGGAGATGCTACATCTCTGGGTAGCCTGTTTCAATGCTTAATGATCCTCATTATTGCTGTTAATTTAGTAAGTGCAATTCACAGCATCTGCAACTAGAAATGAAGGCACCTCCAAATAATGACTCCATAGAGACTCTTTTTTCTCTTTTGTAACTGACTTATGCTGTTGACAAATCTTTTATAAGAATAAATGATGTTGGGTTCATATTCTTATGAAGATGTTCTTTCCAGTCATTGTCTCTGACATCCACAGTTACCCATCTCCATTTTTTACTATACTTCATTATTAAGAACCTTTGGAGAGGCATTGCAGATTTTCTTACTAATAATTAGATGCTTAGACTGTTTATATATAACAAAAAACAACTTGGGTATGAATTCTCAGAAAGTAATAAGAGTTACGGCTAGCATTAAATGAACTTCTCCCTTGTTTTATATGGAATATTATGGTTAAATGGAAACCAAATGCAAACATAACACAAAAGGGACATTAAATGAAATAAGAGATTCTACAAGTATGTCAAAAATAAGAGGAAGACAAAAGAAACCATAGCTTCCATATGGAATGGACAAAGCAATCTAGTTAAGGATGATAAAAAGAAGGCTGAATTATTTAATTGTTATTTTACTTCAGTCTTCATGAATAAGGTCAGCTATCAGATGATAGTACAGTTGGCAGCAAAGATGGAGAAGGAGACAAACAGCCTAGAATAGTGGAAGAACAGACTAGGAATGAGAGAAGCTAGATGCGTCAGCAGGGCCAGGTGGGATACACCCAAGAATACTGAAGAAAATGGCTAATTTCAGAGTGATTGACTATCCTTGTTAAAAAATCCTGAAGATTGGATTCCAATCATCCCAGATGATTTCAAAAAAGAAAACAAAGTGTCCATTTTTAAGAAAGGGAAGGAGCATCTGAGGAATTACAGACCAGTTAGTATGATCCCAGCACTATGACCAGGTCCTGAAGGAACCTGTTTGGAATCGCCTAGAGGAGAACAAGATCAGAAACAGCCAGCATAGATTCACCATTAGCAAGTCATGCCTGACCAGCCTGATTTGCTTCTATGATAATGTGACAATAGGTGGATGGGGGGAGAGTAGTAGATGTGATATACCTTGATTCTAGCAATGCTTTTGATACTGTAGTTCACAACATTCTCATTAACAAGCTAATGAAATACAGACTAGACAAAAGTACTGTAAGGGGGATGCATAACTGTAGTATTCCCCAGGGGTTTGTCCTGGGTCCAGTATTGTTTAATACTTTCATTAATGATTTGGATGATGGTATTGAATGCATGCTCAGCAAATCTGAGCACATCACCAAGTTTGATGGAGTTGCAGATACTATAGAGGGTAGGGCTAGGATCCCGAATGACTTGAATAGATTGGTAAAATGGTCCTTAATCAATCAAATGAGATTCAACAAAGACAAGTCTAAAGTCCTGCACTTGGGACAGAATAATTGCATGAACAGATACAGACTGGGGGATCACTGGCTAGTCTGTAGTAGTTCAGAGAAAGATCTGGGGATTACACATCAACAGTGCACTCTTGTTACAGAAAAAAGCCAACTGCATACTGGGTTGCTTTAACAGAAGCATCTCTTGCAAATCAAGGGAAGTGCTTCTTCTACTCTATTTGGCATCGGTGAGGCGTCACCTGCAATATAGCATCCCGTTTTGGACCCATACTTCAAGAAAGATGTGGGTAGATTAGAAAGAGTTCATCAGAGATCAACAAAAAATATTAGAGGCCTGAAAAGCAAGACTTATGAGAGAAGGCTGAAGAAACTAGGGGTTTTTTAGTCTGGAGAAGAGAAAGTTGAGGGGGGTGGGGGGATTTGATAATAGTCTTCAAAGACCTAAAAGGCAATTACAGAGAGGATGAAGATGGGCTTTTCTCTGTGGCTGTAGTGGACATGACTAGGAGCAATGACCTCAAGCTTCAACAGAGGAAATGTAGTTTGGCGATTTAGGAGCAACTTTTGACTGTGAGGGTGGTCAAGCACTGGAACAAGATTTGGAAGCTAGGGAAGTTGTGGAATGTTCTTCCCTGGAAATATTCAAAAGCAGCTTAGACAAACACTTAGCTAAGATGTTTAGTCAGGGATGATCCTTCCTTGAGAATGGGACTTGACTAGATGATCTCATGAGGTCTCTTCCAGCCCTACTTTCCTATGAACCTATGACTACCATGATTGCTTATGAGGTGCCATATTTTATACTTAAAACATATGGAGCCATAATGATTGTGCGGAATGCTGGTAAACTCTTGAGTGTCCTGGAAAGCTGTGCATAATAATTCCTTTTCATGACACATTTGAGATACTTACCTCTTCTTAAAAGATTGTGCTGACTTTCCTTATGTCAGGATGGATTGCTAACTCTTTCCTATTCTACCTTACAATTTAATAGAATATTGACAAAAACATTTTGCTTGTAAATGCAATAGTAATTGGATCAGACTTTCTTTATAGCTATTAAAATATGAAAATATCCTATTCCTTTCCTCAAATCTTTTTTTACAAAAGTATACTACAACTTACCTGAACTTGGTGATATGCCTTGAAAACAAGCAAAGACACAATGTTAAAAGGTGAGTCCCTAACTATAATAACCTAAATCTAAGTGGTTTAATGTCTGCTGCTTAATTTCAGCTTTCACTTTCTTCTACTTCTTATTACATATCTGTAGCAGGGTACTAAGATGTGCCTGCTCCTTAAGGCTGAAGAAGCCTGGTGATAGAGCTCCGCAAGCTAAGTAGAGCTCCCCAGCTGCAGGTTGCTGGGGTAACAGCCAAAGGGAGTAATGGGCCACACCTGCTGACATCACCTGACCAGCAGGAGACAGGGTGTGGGGATATATAAGCCCAGGCTGTAGCTAACAGACATGCACTTTCTCTTTGGTAACTGATAGGGAAGGAGCTCCTGTCTACTGAAGCTACTTGAGACCTGCTACTTCCTGCTCTGCTATCTAGGTGTTATATGCCTACAAGGAATCTCCCAGGTACCTACGTAAGGGCATGTTACCCTGAGTGGAAGTTTATTCCCTTAAAGTGGTATAGCATGGTTGTTATTGTTAGTATTTAAGTTATAGCCTAGGGGCTTGTGTTTGTGTTAGCCCTAATGGATCAGGATGAGGAGGAGGGGAGGTTTGAAGTCCTCACTTGTGCCTGGAGAGAGAAGGCATATGATTTGCTAGAGCCCAGTGTTGTGCACAGTAAGCAGAAGGGCACAGCTAGTGGGGCACAAAGCCAGGTATTCAGGAAAGAGGTACAGAAAGCCAGTCACCAGAGAACCTGGTGCCTGCATGTTTCAGGAAGAGAGAAGCCAGAGGGTTCAATGCCAGGGGCATATAGAGTTGACAACAGTAATCGCACTTGTGAGGCATGGGGCACA